GTGTACCTCTGGTGCAAATTACTGACCTCTGTCATCATTTTAAGTGGGGGAACTTGCACAATCGGTGGCTGACTAAATACTTTTTTGCCCCACTGTACATTCAGTTCCTGCTCTGTGCTTTGAGTTTTGTCTTCAGTAACTGACAGGAATTGTCATGTACTGTGAGGCAGGAATGGTGGACCACAGGGTGCAGACTTCAGGAGGACTCAAACAGCTTTGTTGCTGGAAACCAAAATAACTAAAATGAACATAATATAAACTATGCAGGAACGCTGATGGACAGAACAGTCTAGAATGAGAGACGACACAAGGACAAGTAGGAGAAGACAGACTAAATGCAAGAGGTGAACAGGAACAAGAGGAAAGAGCTGGGAGACACGGCTGACACTGATTACACGCAAAACAGAAAACACTGACATAAGACAGACCTTCAAAGTAAAACAGGAAACGCACATGCAGAGAGACTGAGAACTGACTGAACAGGGACAGAGGGAGTACAGAACCATAACCTAACAACTAGCAAATCTTCAACAGAAGACATAACCAGAATAAACAAGAACATAATATTAACAAACACAAAACACTGAGTCAGACTCAGGACCACGACAAGAGTGTCAGCACTGTCAGGGCAGGAAGCCAGTAAGACAGGAAGGACTCAAAATGCAGACACAGGAAGAGGCTGAGTGACTTTGCCAAAGAATACATTTATTAGCAATCACAACACAGATAACTGTGAAACGTGGCAATACGTGAGTTCAGTGAAAGGTACTGTGGTACAGTTCAGGCAGGATGTCTGGATACGTGGTGCTGAAACAGAGGAGACAGGTGTGAGACGGGTCTTAGTGGGGAGGACGAGAGAACAGGACGTAATGAGGGTCTGCCTGACTTGTAAGCAGTGTTGGTCAAGTTACTTGAAAAAAGCAATCGGATTACAGTAACTGCCCATCTCTGCTTGTAAGCAGGACGGAGGTAACGTGGGGGGAAAACTGCCAATGGGTTCCTAGTGAGTGTCTGTATGGGTAGGAACCAGAGGGGACGGCAGGAGGGCAGGCAGGTGGAGCAGGTAACCAGTATGGCGAGTGACCAGCAGAGAACAGGAAGGTGACACACTGCACAGATGAGTATTGGTCCGAGAGATACTATGAGACAGGAGAAGAGAATTAGCACAACGAGAGTCAACTACAAACAAACACAACGTGATGCTCGACACTAACTACGATTGGCAGACGTGCTGGCAACGACTCGTCGAGTCTTAAATACTGCCAGATGAATTATCAACAGGTGTGGAGGCTCCACCCGGGGCAGGTGACCCAACGCTGTCAGAGACACACAGCCACTCACCCTGACCATGACAAAAATATTGCTAACACGCCTCAAACCCAACAGAGCATTGTTTGGTAGTTGTCGTTCCCACAAACATAGCTTTCCCTCAGTATGCTTCAGTAGGCCATCAATAGATTTGAATGACAACAGGGAAGGAATCAGGGCAAAGAGTGGTCGTTGAATTCATCCAAATATATGTAAATCTTTATTGAAGTCCTCACTTACTACTAGCATCCCATGGCATGAAAGCACATAATACTGTTTTCATTCATCAGGTATTCACAAATAAATATCTCCAGGCAGACAGAAACAAAACCCACCTTAAGTTTTTGTATGAAGTGTAATTGCCAGCCATGATGACATATATCTGCTTAATTATTGTTAAAGATTTGTCGCTTTTTATGCTGTTTCAGAGGCTTTTCTAATATGTCAGGAATAGCATCCTGTAGACTCACATACAGAATCACCTGTTGGTGACTACAGAAATGCAGCGATGTCCACAGACTGTTTGAGGTCACATTTAGGCAAAATATACTAAACCATGAGATGAAACAGAAGCCCTAACTCAAAATGAGCTTATTTAACGTACACTTGTCTAATATGACAACTGTTTGTCAGGAAGCAGGTGCAGCTTTTTGACCAGTAACTTTACAGATATTACATGCTATTTAAGGGAAAGGGCTCCATGGGGACTGGC